GAGGAGGAGGAGGAGGAGGAGGAGGAGGACAAGGAGGAGGAGGCGAGGTGTCTGTATATGACGTCGTTACCACACACGCGAATGTCCCTTTTGTTTTGTGTCTGCCGAACGTGAGAGTCTATTTACATGTCCCGGGAATCAGGCAGCGTGTTGTGAGAACGCTACACGGAAGGGCGAAGCACAGAGGGAGACATCTCCATTTCGTTCCACACCTACGACCAATCTTTCTTTCAAAAGCAAATGACAGCATTAAGGCCGCAGCAAGACACAACGGCGGTGCGATCTGTCTTGCCACATGTGCAACGCGATTCTTTTAATTCTTAGCCATGTATGCATTGAGTATTACCTTGCTGCGTGCGTGTGCTTCTTCTAATTTAGCAGTTGTTGTTACTGTTGTTGTTGTTGTTGTCGTTGTTGTTGTTGTTGTTGTTGTTGTTTTCACATTAAAAACCGTTCCGATCTCTCTCTACCCAGTACCTTCGTATGCCCGTACTGATCCAACACTCGACGCGGTCGATTCCCGTGGTCGCAGGCTAACTTACCCTAGAAAGGTACACTCAAATAAAATGGCCTCGAGGGGTCCGCAAGTCAATAGAAATCAACGACAGATATTCTGGAGTCCTCCACTCCCTCTGCGCGCTATGCGAGGTAACAACTGAGACTAGGAGTCACCATCACGGGCCGGAGAGAGTGAGGTACACCCCCTTGGTTCAATCTTGGTACTTCACAACGCAAGCAGAGGCAAGGCCATCTGGCACAGAAAAAGAGAGAAAAAGCGACCAAGAGAAAAAGAGAAGAAAATAACAGGAAACAGTAAGGAAAGAGAAAATAAAATAACAGAGCGAGGACAACAAGGGACCAGGCCGAAAATAACAAGAAATGAGAGACAGAAAATGGCACACGGTGGAGAGACCACTAACGACACGGAAACACGCAAACATGGCCACCAACCAGCGATGCATTGTAATGGTACGTCATCACTAGTGTAGGGGTCCCCCAATAGAATGAGGCGTCAGCTCTTGAGGACAACCAACCGCGTTGACACCAATTTGTCGAAAAACTTGATTTTTCATTCAATACCAGGCAATTGCACCCGCTTACGTATGACGCCGCTTGCGAGAAAAAAACATGTATTTTGTGGTCCTCGGGACCTTGCGTTCGAAAGCACTTTGATTGCACGCTGACTACGGGCACAGGAACTGTTGTTCACGGGACTGGTGGAAGGCGGAGGCTTGATCATTTTTTGTATTTGGAACAACCAGCGACGGCGAGAAGCAGGCACACCTCCTTCATACCACACCGCGAGACCGCCACAGCTAGCAACAAAAGCTTGGAAACCGAGATGCTGGCACAAAACCTGGCGTTTGTTGTACCTACCAATCGAAGCCAGGAGACCTAAATCATGCTCAACCCAACACATCTTAATTGACGCAGACTACAAATAGTACACAGTTGCGGCGATCGCTGGAAATTCCAACTCGGCGTGCAGATATTCTGACTTGGCTGTTCATCTACGCTAGCGCGCGTGTGTGGCGGGAGAGAGTCTACGTGCGTGGTAGAGGCAGTGCTTGACGTGGATTTGCGGAAGTCTCGCCGCGCAACTTGTGTTCGATGCTTTCGTCGTGAGAAAAAACGTATGCAAACTCTTGCTCCGGATGCGCGAGTATGTTCACGAGCAAGACATGCCAAAATCTTGGCGCAACTTTTTGCTTCCACAGAGTACATGGGAGAAGTTCCGAGCAAAGTTTGAAACTTTTATACTTTTCTCGCAACTTCAGACCGCCGTATTGGGGGACCCCCACTGCTCTATTAGCATCGACGCGCTATCCAATGAAAATACATCAGCCTCAAGGCGACCGACAACAGCATGGGCGCCACCTTCGGCATAATAAATTACAAAGCTGTGTGCGTATGATCTCACAATAGCTGAAGAGTACGGCACCTCACGGTCGGGCTGGAACGCGAACAGATTCGTACACGACAAGCGCCGCTCGACCGATCACGATCGATCTGATCACCCCAACACGAAGGCGGGATGATGTAGGTCTTATGCCTGCCTGTTGCAGCAGACTCGCCGCACGCTCTGCTCGTCTGGGAAAGACCACCACAAGGCACCCTTCTGTCTCATCTGTGGTGCTCCTCGGCTGCATTCTGTTTGGCCAAGAGGTGTTTCTTCTTTCTCACCTCACAACACTCAGATTTCAACGTCTGTTCAATCTTCTGCGAAGTAAAGGGGTCCCACCGGCGGGGACCTGTTTTTGTTGGGGTACCCTATGCGCGAGCTAGGAATCTCGCTTGCGAACCCCCCAAACCATTATCATACCAAATCGGTAGTACGTATGCATTGCACATTGAGAGAACACCTAGCTCAAGGTATGCGTGACACGTCGCCCCCAAGCTGTAGCACGCGATGTGATGCTTATGATCAGGACATACATAGCCTGTCGAATTCGTACGAGCAGAAGTGGTGAAATCGCTGTGGCTTGGTCAAGCCCCATTTATCGCGATTAAGCGCGATTCCAGCTGTTACGCTTTCAAAGCAGGCGTCAATGTACATGACCCAACAAGCGTATGACTCCCCCCCTCCCCCCACGATGTTTGCCATCGGGATTGGGTTTTCGTCGCTTGGCAACGACGTTGTAAAAAGCCAATGCACTTCGTGACCTCGGCAACCAGGTTACCGTTTTTTTTTTTTACCTCCGTTTTTTTTTTGGCGGTAACCATAATGCTGGTCGAGTAGATCATGTTGTGCGGGGTGGAGAACCCTTGCTCCGCGCTCCGCGCAAGGGGCATGACGACTACGGCATGCATGACTATGAGTACATCCCCCCCCCCCCCCCTCGGTGTTTGCCATCGGGATTGGGTTTTCGTCGCTTGGCAACGACGTTG